CAGCTTGGAAGGCAGCTAACAGACTTCCATTCCATCTGACTTACTCTGTTCCTTTCCCCAGTTTCCTTGCTCTTTGAAGCTCAACAGTGATACAGAATAGCATTGCGATCAGATTATATCACAGGCTCTATTAACATCTCTAAAAGGCTGCCAGTGTTTTATAAGGAGTGTCATGTAAGAAAGGAAGGAAACAGTAAACTGCAATCTGTCTGCTGCTGACTCACAGCCAATAATGGTTGATATGATTTATGTTTAGAAACTAGACAAAGGAAAAACTGTTTAGTTGTTATAAATGGGATTGTCCCTAAGGATATTAATTAAATAAAGTATCACCTTGATGCACAAGAAAGAATGCACAGCTATTTCTTAGTATATGTTCTGCCAAAGACGATAGTACACAGCTATTAAACAAAATGTAAAGGCATTCACCCAAAAGTAAGAGTAAATGATTAATGTGGACTCTATTAGTTTCCTGGGGTTTCTATAAAAAGTTATCATAAACTTAATGGTCCACAGTAGTATAATCCGAGTCTGTTATAGTTTGGGAGATCAAAAAAGTCTGAAGTGAATTTTATGGGATAAAAATCTAGGTTTCAGCAAGGCCTTTCTCCCTTTGGAGGCTATAAGGGACACCTCGTGTCTTGTCTTCCAACTTCAGGTGGCTGCTGAGCCTACTTGCACATGTTACTCAGATGTTGACCTCTCTTCATGGGGGTTTCCCTCCCATGTATCTGTATACTTTCCCCTTTTCTAGTTTTGTGAGATGTAGTATCAATATCTAGTTCAAGCTTGTCTCAAACATGATATCCTCCTGTCTCAGGTTTTAGAATGCTCGGGTTACAGGTATGTATCATTGATCTAAGCATGCTCTGCTTATTTTCTTTCAAAGACAGATGTAATGACATATAGGGCTCACCTAGATGATCCACGATATGTCCATATGTCAAGATTCTTAATTACATCTGCAAAATATTTCTCTTACAAGGTAACACAGGTTCTGTAATTGGACTAGGTTTGAGGTCCCGCCATTGAGTTCACAATAGAAAGATGATGAGTTTTAATCTTGAAAAGATGAACATTTTTATAGTTGTCTTTTCCCAAGCCCTTATTGTTCCTGAGGAGGTACATTTTGAAAGTGCTGTGAAATGAATCTCAGTAAGGAACATATTGATAGCTTGTATTCCTGGTCTTGGTGAAATCTTTACTTATTTATCTGTTTATTTTACTGAAATTCTCTTTGAAACACTACATTTATGTATATTTCTTGAGAATCATATGTTCATTATTGTGTTATACCAGTTTACTGAATATAAATAGTGATTTAATAATTTTTAATATTATAAAACTCTTTTATTAGGTATCTATCACAAGATAAAAATTTTATATCAGTTTAGTTTTATGTATTACATCTCTGTAAGTTTATCTTCACTCTTTTCAAGCTAAGCGTGACACGTGGATAGTGTGAAATAGTTCACAAAATTAAGAGATAAATTATTTTATGTTGCTTCCTTCTGTAGTTGTTGAATTCTTTTGGCAATGTTATTCTGTCACCCAGTGCTTAAAAAGCATGTTTATTTATACTAATTTACAATTGGAAACACCCTAGAAGTAGAGTTCCTTAATTAGGGTCTATGTCATAGTTGGAGTTTTAATTTTGAATTTGTTATGCTTTGTTTTAGTTCCATTCAGTTAGAATAGTAATTCCTGTAATTTTACTGTCTTTTAGTAAACAAACAGGAATAGATTCAGATAATAGTTTATGAATATAAATTTAATTAAAATTCAGTGGGAGAGTATTCTATTTGTAATTTATTATTTTTGAAAACAAGAACATAATATGTTATTAAAATAGTATATTAAGATTATCTTAATAAAATCATTATTATTAATTATTAGTAGTAATATTTTTCCTTTTTACATTTGTAATCTTTTTTGGTTTTGCCCTTTTCCCTTGAGAATTTTCATATCTGCTTGGATTTTGCTTTTTTTTCTGGATAAGTTTTCTCTGTGTAGCCTTGGCTGTCTTGGAACTTACTTTGTAGACCAGGGTGGCCTTAAAGATCGAACTGCCTCTCAGGTTCTGAGATTAAAGCTGTGCGCCACCACTGCTGGGCTTTTCTAGAACTCTTTTTTGTCTGTTTTTATTTTTGTTTTGTTTTTATACTGTGGGCATGTGTGTGTATGTACATTTTCATGTGATTGCAGGCACACATGTGTCACAGTATGTGTATATGTACGTCATAGGATAACCTCAGGTGTTGAGTTACACTTTCCCCCATACTTGAGACAAGATTACTTATAGTTCCTGTGGCTTACTCCAGGGTATCTGGCCTGCAAATGCCTGGGGGCTCTCTTGTTTCTGTCTCCACCCCACCAAATATTTCTAGAACTGAAGATATGCACTGGACCAGCCAGCTTTATGGGCTTACAGAAACGGAAGAAGCAGTCACAGAGCCTGTATGAATCTGCACCAGGTCTTCTCCATACATTATGTGGTTGTTTAGCTTGGGGTGTTTGTAAGACTCCTAACAGTGGGAGTTGTTACAAGGAGGAGGGCCCGCTTGTGCCTGTGAGCTGCTTGGAAGGCTGCTGGTTTGTCCCAGCCGCCCAGCTTGCTTAGCCCAAAAATAACCACATAGAAATTGTATTAATTAAATCACTGCTTGGCCGATTATCTCTAGCCACTTTTTGGCTAACTCTCACATATGATTTAATACATTTTTATTAATCTGTGTATCGCCACGTGGCAGTGGCTTACCGGGATAGGTTCTAACCCGTGTCTGTCTCAGGCGGAGGATCCATGGCTTCTCTCTGACCCTGCTTTCTTCCTCCCAGAATTCAGTTCTGTCTTCTCTGCCTACCTAAGTTCTACCCTATCAACCAGGCCAAGGCAGTTTCTTTATTCATTAACCAATACAAGCAATGCACAGATGGGACTCCCACATCAGGAAGTTTGGCTGTCTCTGACTCCTCCACATCAGGAAGTTTGGCTGTCTCTGACTCCTGTGCTTACACTTGGCACCCCTTTCCTCCTGTTGGGTTTTCTCTTCCAGCCTTGATAGGAGGATTTGTGCCTAGTTCTATTGCATCTTTTCATGCCATGTAGTGCTATATTGTGATTAAATATGTGCACACCCCACTAGCTGATGTGCATTCTTGATCCCTCTTAATACTCTGGTTAAGTGACATTTTCTGTTTCTATGATTTTGTAGCATTAATGTTATTTCTATAACTTCTAATTTTATTTATTCATTTGAGAAATCATGCTTGAGATTAATAATCATCATATAAATTTAATTACATCTTTCCTTCAAAAAGAAAAATATCCCATCTTTAGCAGTAGTAACAAAAATCTGGTTCCACTCCCATTGATTTTGGGTAACATCAATAAAAGGCTAGACTAGAATCCTCTGGCTATCTTTGATTCTTAATTCTTACATAGTCCATATAGCCCATCCCTTACTCTTCCCTATTATGTGACAATGTTAAATATATTTTAAATTCTATCCATTGTCTTTTTTTCTAGTTTTGCTATCTTGTTTCAAAATATTATTACTTCTCTCTGGGACCATTGAATTATTTATTAGTAATTCACACGCGAATCTGTCCAGAAGTGTGTACTGAGCATAATACTATTATTAAAATTTCAAATTAATTGTAAGGAATAACTTTAACTTCTAAGACTCTGAAGGTAGAAGAATAAGAGAAGCCAAATATGCTGGCACATACCTTTAATTTAAGCACTAGGGAGGCAGGGACAAGAGGATGTCTGTGAGTTTGAGGCCAGTCTGGTCAACAAAATAAGTTCCAGGACTGTTTCACAGAAAAATCCTGTCTCAAAAAAAAAAAAAAAAAGAAAAGAAAAGAATAAGAGGGAAACCATAAATATAGAAGAATGATGACTTTATATTCTCTCTTTGCATCACTCTTGGATATCCCGATAGTGTTCAGATTTTGTTTTCTAGCAATTCCATAATTTCATTAAATTATCAATGACCTTGGTGAGATTAACCTAAATAAATTTTTGTATTGTAGAGCTAGAAATTTATAGTTTAAATTTCTTTTGCTAATTACAAAATTTTACATTAGATGAGAATGTGAATCAGCTCTTTACCTCTGCCTCCATTTTCTGTATACATTTGCATTAACACATACATATTGATGTTCTAAAGAGGGAATTCACTCTCTTGATGAATAAATAGGTTTCTTTCCTAGCAGTGAGGATGTTGGACATTTTTCATAGGTCATTATTTTCCTACTGAAAACAGAACAGATGGTAGACCAGGCAAGACTGTAGATGTTCTCTCTGATTTAGATAATTTTTTTCTGAAGATTATTATCTTTAAGTCAATTAAGTATGATAAACTAGTACAATGATAGTTCCATAAGGTAATTAATTTGATAATTACTTAGGTAGTTGAAAACCACTTGTATTTTACGTTTTTTTTTTCTTATTTGTTTTGTTTGTTTGGCAGTCAGGACTAGAGAGTGGATAGCTACTATTATAATGCTCAACCTAATCTCCATCAACAGGTGCTTATCCCAAATGATCTTTTGTACTGATGTGGAGAAAGAAACTCTTTCTGGTTATTATCTTTTTAGTCCATCATGTGGTATACTAATTTTTAAAAAACTTTCTATTTTTTTTGTATGTTGTGTGTATATGAGTTTATGTACTGCAGGGGATAGAACCCATGGCCTTGTGCATAATAACCAAGTATAATTCCAGTAAATTATGCCTCCCACTATTGATCTATTTAAAGATAAATATCATACTTGCATTTTCAATACATTTAGTAGCATATTTTGTTAAAATAATTTTAATTTAAATTTATTAGTAAACATTTTATATCACTATATTAAAATAGTTTTTCAAGATACTGGTAAATAATGTTTTATAATATATTCAATAGTTACTTAGATTGTGAGTGAAAGTAGTTCTGTTGATTACTGTATATACAGTTGTATACTTGCTACTCAAAATTGATTTTATTTTTCAGATCTTTCCAGAAATCGCTTTACAGAAATTCCTTCTGATGTGTGGTTATTTGCACCACTTGAAACATTAAACTTATATCATAATTGTATCAAAACCATTCCTGAAGCCATTAAGAATTTGCAGATGTTAACATACCTTAACATTAGGTAAGCAAACAATTTTTAAAAACTACAATTTTTCAGGGTCTAGAAAGATGGATCTGCTGTTAATAGAATAGGCTGCTGGTTTCAGAAGATCAGGGTTGGTGCCCAGCACCCTCGTGTTGGCTCATCCCCACCTTTAACAACAGTTTCTCAGGATCAAACGACCTTTTTTTTAACCTCCTCCACCACTAGGAATACACATAATGCACATCCATGTATGCAGTAAAACACTCATAGTAATACCAATAGTAATAAGTAATAATATTAGTAATAATAATATAAATCTTTATTAGAACTTTTTTGTGTTTTCTTAAATCTTTAATCAATTTTTATGATAAAAGATTGTATTTTGTTTATGTTCAAATTGTTCAATAAGTTTTTGGTCTTGTTATTTAAGGCAATGTTTCTCAAAGTTTCATACACAGGAATTGTCTGGGGATCTTGTTAGGTCTGCTGAGGGACCTGCATTTTCTAAAAAGGTCCCCTGGTAATTTACCTGCATGTGTATTGATCATTAGATCTCACTTTGAGAGGAAGGATTTAGATCATAAATATTTTTCTCATTTGTTGCCCAGTTTTCTGAATTCACTTATATGGCAGTCTAGTTATGCTAGTCAAACATTATAATGAAACACCAAGTAAAGTTTTATCACGTGATGTGTTGCCAGTTCAAGAATGGGCAAATTGGAATGGAAGGTTGGAAAGTTTGGAGGTGACAGGACATCTTTTTGTTTAACATGTTTTTTTTTCTTTCCATAATGGGGATCAATTCAGGGTGTTGTCCATGCTTGGCAAGCATTTTATCACTGAATGGCATTCCTAGCCATTTTATGCTTAATATGGTTTTACTATGTACTAGGCAATATTACAAGTGTTTGACCTATATTACTTCTCTTAATATTCCAACATCATTTTGAGATAGGTTATATTATTCTTGTATTCCATATGAGAAAACTGGGCTAATCTGTTTCCCAAAACTCCCATCTATTCATAAAGTTGTTCTTTGATGGCTGTGAGAGAATGACATTCCCCAAAATACTAATGTCTGTCAATATTCAATTCCCTTACATAAAAAAGCATAGTGTATGAAGGGTTATGACTGGGACATAAGAAATTAGACATTGCAGAAGTTCCTAGAGGTTTACTAATTGAAGAACAGTGTCTTCTTTTGTCACATACACTCTCTCTCACACACTCTCTCTCACACACACAAGGATACACACACACACACACACACACACACACACACACACACAGCACTTTAAAGCCAGCCTAGTATTTATGGAAATTCTCTGCAGAGATAAAATGGGATGGAGGATCTTATGTTATTCTTGCTTAAATAACATAGATCTTTTGTTCCTGTATACATTACATGAAACGCTTGGTACAAGTCTCTAAATGCTAATTTGAAAAATAGAAAAATAATGATATCTTATTCCTTGTCAGTGCTTACTAGTATGTAATTGGAATGTTTTCTTCTCTATATTTTTGATTTTGAGATATTTTGGGCCAATCCATCTGAAATTGGCATTTGAGTATAGAATGTGAAGTGTAAGGATAACAAATCTAGATTGACCATATTTCAATCCAGGCTTTCCTGCTTACCAACTATGTACCTTTGGAACATTTCACTTACTCTCATTGTGATTTATTTATTTATTTAAATGGGGTTCATGATGAGTGTTTACCTAAAGTAGGTTGCTGGGATGAACAGTTGATTTTATTCAAGTGAGTTATTCTGAACTTTTACTGGCAGATTGTAATTAATCAATAAAATGTTAGTTGTTATTGTATTTAAATGTACTCTAATGAATTTTTCATTAATGTTAGACTGAAACAGAAGTGCTACCTGGTTGTTCCAATGCAAACTATCTAAAAACTACTAGTATTTTTAAGGATTTATTTTATCTTTAATTGTATGTATGAGTGGGTCACACATGTCTATGTGAGTGTGCATATGAGTGTAGTGCTTGTGGAGACCAGAAGATGGTGTCAGATTCCCTGGAACTAGAGTTACAGGAGATGGTGAACTGCCCCCCATGCAGGTGCTGGGAACGAAATTTGGGTGGGTTTCAATATCAGTCCACGTCCATAACTGCTGAGCCATCTCTCCATACTCCAAGCTGCTGATATTTTAAAAGATAGATTTCTTCAATCATTTTAAGCACAATGTCAGCAAATTTCCCCCAAGATCCTCTCCATGATTAGACTTATGAAAGTATCAAGTGTGCTAAAATATGCCCCAGAAAGTTCTGGCATTCTCTAGCTCAGAAAAACCCTGAGTTATTATTGCATGGGCTACTTATGAGCATTACAATGTGTAATAACAGAATTTTGGCTATCAGATTTGTCTGTGTATCTCTGTTATAATAGACAAGTCACTTAGGGAGCTTCAGCATTCATTTTCATATTTGTATATTGAAGCTTATATTACCTATCTTAGGTTAATGTGAATATTAGTCAGTGTATGAATGTAAGTTACATGTGCTTGTTTGAAGTGAAACACTCAATAAATGGTACTTGTTAATGAATGCTTATTATCTACTGTCGAGGTGCTTTGTACTTTTTTGCCTAACATAAAGATTCAGACATTTTTCATAAGGACTTTTTCTTAAATTTTTTTCAGTCGAAATCTTTTATCAACATTGCCAAAATACTTATTTGACCTTCCACTTAAAGTTTTGGTCGTCAGCAATAATAAGCTGGTATCCATTCCAGAAGAAATTGGAAAGTTAAAAGATTTGATGGAGCTGGTGAGTAAAATAATATATATATATATATATATATATGTGTGTGTGTGTGTGTGTGTGTGTGTGTGTGTGTGTGTGTGTGTGTGTCACATATAATATATACATTTTTATTTTAGAGTTATACTATTCCTTTGTAGAATTTCATTGTAATTTTTTTCAAAAGGGAATAATTTGGTATATGTCTAAATTCAGAGTAATGACAACAAGCAACAAAGTAATGTTTAAGAATGGCACTACCCTTGAACACATATAAACTATACAGATGGCGAATCTGGCATTTTGAACCAGAGTAGTGTTATTTATGAAGTGGCTGTTGAATTAAATTTTTTAAAAGTCAAATGATATAACATCATCACATAACTCCTAAAATCCACATGAAAATAAAAGATAAAAATGAAAAACATTTTAAATGTCCTTCTTCGCTTTTAGAATGGGAAAAGGCTTTGAAAAACACCAATGATAGCCTATGCTGGAGAGGATGTGGAGAGAGGGGAACACTCATCCATTGTTGGTGGGAATGCAAACTTGTGCAGCCTCTGTGGAAATCAGTGTGGCGGTTTCTCAGGAAACTGGGAGTCAACCACCCTCAGGACCCAGCAATTCACTCTTGGGAATATATCCAAGAGATGCCCTATCATACTCCAAAAGCATTTGTTCAACTATGTTCATAGCAGCACTATTTGTAATATCCAGAACCTGGAAACAACCTCAGTGCCCCTCATTTTAGATTTTTAAAGGACATTGAACATCTAGGGAAAAACATAGAGTGCTTAAGCATTGAAATGTTTTCATGTATTTGTGTTATTTCAGTTTTACACTGTGACATGCTGTTTATTTTTATTTCCTGTTTTGTATTAAGGTAAAGCTTTTCAAAAAATGGTTCTTTATGAATTTTCTTAAGTAGGATTTTATTATCTCTAAAGGACCAAAAGTTTTCTTTTTAAGCTTATTAATGATTTTATAATGGGAACATATTCTATCAATGTGCAATATCAGAAATGTCAAGACTGTGTCTATTTGCTAAGGAATCACTTCATGTCCTGTTTCTCTTTGTGCTTTAAAGTCATAGAAGTTTGGGGTTAGAAAAGGTCTTAGAAATGATCAGAGACAGTCACTTCTGAATGTAGGAAACTAATATATTTACCTGTGTATTTGCAAAATAGACAGTTCTCTGGGTATATTTGAGCCTACCCTATTCTCTTTTTTAGAATTCTATTTGTTAATAATTTTTATTATTTTCACCCAAAATAATGGTTTTAGCTGGTTTTATCTATTGACCTTGGCCATTCCATGAAGAAATGTACAACTTCTCATCCCTCAAATCCTTGTTACCTACTGAAATTTTAAGGTCTGCTTTTTTAAGATTAAACATTCTTATTACCTTTATTTGTTTCAATGACTTTCTTTTTTGTGTATTCCAGTTATTTAAATCGAACTATGTTGATTTATTAATGTGATTAAGCATTAGAATTTGAGGACCAAATATTAACGGGTGCTTCATTCCACAGTTTGCATAATTTTCTTTTTAAACATATTTTTTAGGGTCTGGCTTACCTCACTCAGTAAAGCGTTTTCTATTTCCATCCATTTGCATGCAAAATTCAAGATGTCATTGTTTTTTACCGCTGAGTAAAACTCTAATGTGTATATGTTCCACACCTTTTTTAACCATTCTTCTATTGAGGGGCACCTAGGCTGTTTCCAGGTTCTGGCTATTACAAATAGTGCTGCTATGAACATAGTTGAACAAATGCTTTTGTAGTATGTTAGGGAATCTCTAGGGTATATTCCCAAGAGTGGAATTGCTGGGTCCTGAGGGAGGTTGACTCCCAGTTTCCTGAGAAACCGCCACACTGATTTCCACAGTGGCTGCACAAGTTTGCATTCCCACCAACAATGGATGAGTGTTCCCCTCACCCCACATCCTCTCCAGCATAGGCTATCATTGGTGTTTTTGACTTTAGCTATTCTGACAGGTGTAAGATGGTATCTCAAAGTGGTTTTGATTTGCATTTCCCTGATCGCTAAGGAGGTTGAGCACGACCTTAAGTGTCTTCTGGCCATTCGAAGTTCATCTGTTGTGAATTCTCTGTTCAGTTCAGTACCCCATTTTTTAATTGGGTTAATTAGCGTTTTAGTGTCTAGTTTCTTGAGTTCTTTGTATATTTTGGAGATCAGACCTTTGTCTGATGAGGGGTTGGTGAAGATCTTCTCTCAGTCAGAAGGCAGCCTTTTTGTCTTACTGACAGTGTCCTTTGCTTTACAGAAGCTTCTCAGTTTCAGTAGATCCCATTTATTCATTGTTTCTCTTATTGTCTGTGCTACTTGGGTCCTACTTAGGAAGAGGCCTCCTGTGCCTATACCTTGTAGATTACTTCCCACTTTATCTTCTATCAGGTTCAAAGTGGTTGAATTTTTATTGAGGTCTTTAATCCCTTTGGAGTTAAGTTTTGTGCATGGAGATACATATGGATCTATTTTCATTCTTCTACATGCTGACATTCAGTTATGCCAGCACCATTTGTTGAAGATGCTTTTTTTCACTGCATAATTTTTAGCTTCTTTGTTAAAATCAGGTGTTCATAGGTGTGTGGTTTTATACCTGAATCTTTGATTTGATTCCATATGTCAACCTGTTTGTTTTCTGCTAATACCAAATTGTTTTCATTAATGTAGTTTTATAATGAAGCTTGATGTCAGGTATTGTGATGCCTCTGGATGTTCCTTTATTGTACAGGATAGTTTTGGCTATCCTTGACTTCTTGTTTTTCCATATGAAGTTGATTATTTTTCTTTCAAGGTTTGTGAAGTATTGTGTTGGGATTTTGATGGGGATTGCATTGAATCTATAGATTGCTTTTGGTAGGATTGTCATTTTTGTTCTGTTGATTCTACCTATCCAAGAGCATTGGAGATCTTTTCATTTTATTGTATTTTCTTCAATTTCTTTCTTCTAAGACCATGTCTTGTCGAACAGGTCTTTCATCATACACTTTCACTCATTGAAGTTTAAGCAGTTCTTTTTGATATTTTCCTATTGTTAGAGTTCCTTTAAGTGGTTTTGTTATATTGCTTTTTTGATACATGTTTTTCTTTGTAACTTTGGAGCCTGTTCTGGAACTAGCTCTTGTAGACCAGGCCGACCTCGAATGCACAGAGATTCATCTGCTTATGCCTCCTAAGCTCTGGTTTTTAAGAGCGTGTACCACTACTGCCTGGTTTATTAAAAGGCTTTTAAAAATTGACTACAATCTTTTAATTTCTTTCACAGTTCATAGTTCTTTGCAGATAGCTACTTTTGGACATCATGTAATCCAGGGATATTTTGAACAGCTCAATTATCTTTAGAAGTGAAAATCTCTAAGTGCAACTTAAATAAATAAGCACCTATACCCATATATTCTGGAGGATACACTCTTAAAGTAAACTAGCATCATTTTCAATCACACCTTAACTAAGGGTGGAACTTTCTATTCATTTCTCCTCTCCACGCTGTTATTTATCTTGCTTGAGCTCACACAGGTCTAGTGGGCACTGCCACATTTGCTGTGGATTCATATGTGCAACTTCCCTTCTACATTGGAAAACTCTGTTTTCTTGTGGTCATTCTTTATTATCCTACACCATCTTCCACAATGTTCTCTGAGCCTTGGAAAGAGAGAGTGTGGTATACATGTTCCCTTTAGTGCTAATCATTACACAACTACATATTCTCTGAACCCTTAGTAGTTATAGGGCTTTTTGTTAATACTCCACTGTCAACAGAAGCTTCTCTGATACGTGTTAAAAGATGGACTAACCTATTTGTATAATAATAAATTATAAGAAATCAATTTAATGCCGTGCCCATCTAGCAGAATAGTGGCAGTTGGCTTTTCTCCTAGGGACTATGGCCTGCCTTGCCACAAGTTACTGGTCTGATAATAGTGCCAGGTATCAGTTTCATCTTGTGGACTAAGCACTAAATTCTACCAAAAATTCATAGTTTACTCCTGTGGTGTTCATGCCACTATTGCACAATGGCAGGCCATTTATTATGGTAGTCCACAGGGTTTATAGCTGGATAATATTTATGCCTATTTTTCTCTTCTGGTAGCAAGCATAGTACCTTTTAGAACTAAGTAAGCTAGCCAGTTAGGAAGGAAGCTTCCAGGGAAGTACCAACTTGATTTCTCCTTGGCCTGTGTCTCAAGTAGGTGCCATCTGCATCAAAAGGTCTTACTGTCAGTGTTTGAGGGTAGTTAACAGCAATAGCTAGAGTCTGTAATATTTGTGGATCAGTAGGCCCTCATTGTTCAAAAATTCTCAAAGGCGTGACCCATTCCTGGCACTAGCAATTTTATTTAATAATGTATTACATCTAATACCATTTTTGACCTATTATTGGGTGACTCGATTTTAACTCATTTTATATATGCATGTGAATTTATCTATATTTAAAGAAGCTTTTATAGTAGTAGATTTCTATATGATCTCTTTCCTAAAAGGTCTTTAGATTAGTGGCCTTTAAATCAGGGTTATATTTTTTATAACCTTGAGAGACTTGAGATTCTTATTCCTTTGGATATCTTTGAGTGGGATTTGGACTACATGCATATGTTTCATATTCGTACTCTTTTGTAGAGAGTAATTTATTTAAACTTACCATGATTATGGTGTCTGGTTCTCTAGTTCACATCTTGATGTTCCTGATTTTCTTGAGGTTTTTATCCTCCTAAATAATGTGAAATGATCTATGGTAGATGGCAGATTAAGTTGGTTGTTGTTATCTACAGTGTTTTATCTCTGCTTGAACATTTAGCTCCTTCTTCTAATTTCAATGGTCAAAGTTGTTCTTTTGTTGAGAGTTTTGCTCATGTACTTACTAAATCTAATATCAAATTTTTTCATAGAATTTTTATTGACTGTGGTATATTGACTTATGATCTAATTCAAATAAAGATCTGCTAGAGAAAACATTATAATTAGCTTTGCTAGCAATTTATCCATATTCTTAAATTTTAAAATTGAAAATATATTTGTGTTTCTCAATTTGATATTGTTTCACTTTCTTGTTTTCCTTAGGATATTAGCTGCAATGAAATTCAGGTCCTTCCCCAACAAATGGGAAAATTACATTCACTTAAAGAGCTAAATATAAGAAGAAATAATCTCCATATTTTGCCAGATGGTAAGATATTCACTATTTCCACTTACTTGAATAAGAGAGTAACCATACAATCTTTAACTTTATTTTCGTTTCTGAACAGAATTAGGAGATCTTCCCTTAGTCAAGTTGGATTTCTCCTGTAATAAAGTGACTGAAATTCCTGTCTGCTATAGGAAGCTGCACCATTTACAAGTCATAATTTTGGATAACAATCCTTTGCAAGTACCGCCAGCACAGGTTTGTAATAAGCATATGATGCTTCTTTCTTTTCAGTTTTATCATGATTTTATTTTTATTAAATTTAAATACAGTATCATATGAGTCAATTTTATCTTTTACATAGGAGTATCTAGAGTTTTTCTATGAACTGACATTTGTTATTTTTTGTTTTGTTTTAAGATGGTCTCATATTTTTATGCTGGTCTCAAATTTTCTTTGTGGTGGATGGTTATAAATTTTGTTTGTTTGTTTGTTTGCTTGTTTGTTTTGAGACAGGGTTTATCTGTGTTGTTCTGGATATCCTTGAACTCATCCTGTAGATCTGACTGTCTTACAACTCAGAGGTCCACCTGCCTCTGTCTCCCAAATGCTGGGATTAAACCTGAGTGTTACCACTGCCCAACAAGATAGCTATGAATTTTGATCCTCCTCCTGTGTCTACCAATCAAATAATAAACTTGGAAAACTGTGGCACCATGGCCTGCTAGAACCTTTTTTATTTTATTTTGATAATAGTTTCAGTATAGGTTATAGACAAGCATTTGGAAAATCTACAATCCCCCTTTCTCTGTGTGAGTTTACAATTCTGATTGTATTATTTTAAAAAGAAAGATTATGAACTCTCTCAGGTGTATATTTGCTTGGTATTTGTTGGACTATTGGTATAATGGGTATTGAGATGTGTGTTGTCTAATAATAGATAATTATTAATAATAATGATTAGATAGATGGATAGATAGATAGATAGATAGACAGACAGACAGACAGATAGATGAGTGTAAATTTGGGTGGATGTGGAAGTAAGGAGAATCTGGGATGAGTTAGCAGAGGGGAAGCCATAATCAGAAGATATTGTATAAAAGAATCCTTCTTCAATTAAAAAAAGAAAATACCCTTATTCTTAACAAAGAAAAAATAAAATATATACAAAATGTTTTCTGATAAAATGATTATAGATTTTCTTAATTTTTACATACTAATTCCAATTTCCCCTCCTTCCCTCACTCCCCCATTTTCCCTCCTCCTCCCCCATCTGTTCTTTAGAGAGCATAAGGGAGTCAATGAATTCTGTTGTATCGCCACATTGAGGCAGGACCAAGGCCCTCCCTCTCATGCCTAGGCTGAGCAACGTTTCTCTTCATAGGAAGCTGGCTTCAAAAAGTCAGATTTTTCATTAAGGATTGCTACTGATTCTACTGCCAGAGGCCCCACAAACTGCCTATACCACCTGCTTTCAGGGAGACTAGCCTGGTCTTATGTAGGTTTCCTGGTTGTCTGTCTGGAGTCAGTGAGCTCCCACAACTAACCACTCTGCATCTGCATCTCTGCATCTTCTTCCACTTCTTACTAAATGGAGAGATGGCTCAGCTGCTGAAGCCTTGGCTCACAACCGTAACAGAGAGAAGATTTTTATTTGTTATCATTGTCACATTTTCCTTCCTTCCACCACACATATAATTCAGTAAAATATACAAACTGCCAAGGTTGTGATATCTCAGCCTATTTTGAGATCATTTCAACATACAAATAACTTGATAGTGTTGTTTTATATTTGCAATTAGAAAGCAGAGAGATGACTCAGCAGTTAAGTACACTCTCTGTTCTTGAAGAGGATCTGAATTTGTTTCCCAGCACTCACATTGTGGTTTATAATCACCTGGAACTTCGATTCCAGGGAATCACATATCTTTTTTTGGCCTCTGCCATATGGCAAGCACAAGGTGCACAAGGAAAACACTCATACACATAAATATATAAATATTTCTATTTGGAGTTATTACAAAATCTACTTCATTTTTTGGTTACAGATATGCTTAAAGGGTAAAGTACATATATTTAAGTACTTAAATATACAAGCATGTTGTAGAATGGATAAGAAACCAGATTCCCTGGATCTTCCATCACTGAGTAAAAGAATGCCTTCTCAGCCCCTCACAGACAGGTAACATAAACAGTCTTCATTTCACCTGATGTTTTTCCTCTGTTAGAAAAGATGTTTATCTCTCTGGGGTATGTGGAATGAATTTATTCTGATTGCACTAGTGTTTAAAAAATGTATTTGGCGGACCGTCATTGGTTATTGAATAACTTCTGGGATACTGAACTAAATTTGAGATTTTTTTCTCCAGATAGCATTATTCTAGCACAAAAAATGTATATGTTTGACAGTATAGGTAAAAGCATTGATTTCCTGACTGTGACAACTGGTAGCCTAACCACTGCTTTAATACTTGTAACTAGCAGGTAGAATTTGACTTTGAACTGAAGTTGATGCAAGAAGAAGACACTTTGGAGATGCATTTCTTCCTTTTCCTAATGTTCTTTTCTTTTTCTGATGTTGAGTATTCAATCTAAGCAAGCACTCTATCACTGACCTACAACCCCAGCCCTTTGTGTGTATGTATGTGTGTGTGTGTTCTTTTTCTTTTTGCAGTGCAGGGAGTTGAATGCAGAGCCGGTTGTATATTAGACCAACGCTCTACCAGTAAGCTATAACTCTATCTCCAGGGCAAAAGTAACATATCATTGATATTCTTTGATTGTGCTGTCCTCTATAACATTTTGATATGGCAGATATGTTATTCCTTTTAATTCATACTTTCAAGATGTAGATTAGTCTGAAAGACTTTTGAAAATATAATTTTATCCAGAAATGTTGAAAAAAAACTTGGAATGGGTAAGATTACACAAAAGGAATCTCTGACCACATATATATTTAAAGGTTTGTCATTGATTTATATGTTAAATTTTAGATTGTTTTAGATGTGATCATAGTAAATAATGTTGTTAAGAGTAAAATCTTGAGTTCCCAAATAGGACTTTTTCAAAATTATTTCTTCTCCTTTCATAAAATATTTGCATATTATATTTATTTCCCAAAGTGTATTTTGTTTGATAGTAGTAGCAGAATATCATTAAAATTCTATTAAAGTTAGAATTAGTATCTATGGTAATCTCTGTTAGTATGCTTTATATTTTTTTTGCAAGTGAGATTAGTAATGGTGTTCATTTTTTCACCAATCATTTTTGTTATACATAGCTGCTTAATGCCTGCTGTTAGATTCAGGGCATATTTTGTTGAAAGCAGTACATGTTTGTTTTGGCAACTATTTGAACTCATAGTTTAGGTGGAACAAGGAACCATATAAAAAAGTGTTCAATCCACTTTGTCCTGCTAAAAAAGAATACCTGAAACTGTGTAATTTTAAATAATGAAAATTTTTATGGCTCATAATTTTAGGAACTGATTAAGTACAAAATAGGTGGGGCACATTCAGTGAGGGCCTGATTATTGCACCACAGCATGTCTAAAGGTGACATGTAAGAAAAGAAAGTAGGAGATGTGAACAGGGTGTCAGATTACTCCCGTAACAAATCTATTTCCTGGACAAAACTCACTCCTTCAATAGAGGTTATTCTCTTCAAAGACTAAACTTTCATGACCTAAATCCCTATCAGACTTCACATGACAATGGATTTGCATTGGGAATTAAGTTTACAACACATTCAGACCATAACATTCACATACACACACACACACACATACACTCACACACACACATGTGCACACACACATACAGAGTCACACATGATAGCTGGCATATGATGGTACATTTTGCCATTTTTTTCAAATTTTTCATGGTGCTTAAGCTACATGCAATGAGCAGAAACCATACTTCATTTTTGAATTTTCATCATTTCCAGGGATGTCAGTATATAGTATGAGTATACCCTTGTGCTGATGGGCAGTGACATTGAGCTCTTGCTGGACCACAAGGGTAAACACATAATACTCTACAGTGGACTGTGTGTTGCTAAAGCATTATGTTCAAAATGCATGGTGAATGAATTTTTATTTGAAATATTTTTAACTTACAATTAATTTATTGGAAACTTTTAAGATGTATTAAAATTTGAAATTATGACATACACTTTGACAGACAAATATTTCTCATCATATTCCAAGACTTTGGTTAAGGAATATCTCTTTGGGAAGTTGAAGACTTTTAGCATTTTGTTTTGCTATTTTTGAGACAAGTTCTCACTGTGGAGTTCTGTCTGGCCTGGAATTCATTATATAGACCAGTACAGTCTGATACCTCTGAGGAGCCTCCTGTCTATGTTTTCAGGTACAGGCTTGTGCCATCAGGTCTGCAACCAGGCATTATGGGGAGATGGAGTTTTAATTTAAGAAATAAACTAAGAAAATCCAGTTGTATGAACAGTGGGGATAGGGTGGGGAGAATGTCAGAAAGAATATCAAGTGCTGGAGGCACATGCCTGTAACTCCAGAACTAAGGAGGCTGAAGCAGGAGGATGGAAACTGTCAGGTAAGCTTGGGCTACATCATAGCAAGTTTCAGGCAGCTAGGGTTAAAGTGATGACACCCTGTCTTACAAAAAAAGAAAGAAAGAGGAAAAAGACCCAGGTCAAGGAAGCCCTTGAGGAATTATAACATAGTGCTAAAATCAAGGATTGTTCAGGCTTAGGTGAAATCTAGGGACCATATTTACATTAACATTTGCAAATTATATAGGTAAATTGCCCTTCTTTGCCTGCCTATAAAATAGAAAAACACCAACCATTTTTATTAGAACTTTACATGAATTATATTTGACATTGTCTTTAAAACACTTAAGTCAGTATTTGCTACATACTAGGTAGTTATTGCACAGTGTGCAAGAAGTACTTTGCTATCTTGGTGGCATAATTTGCAAGTTGAAAATTTATAAGGACAGCTCTAGTCTCACACAAAACAGTTCTATATTCAGCACTTTGCAGACAGTGTGTATGTGTGTGTTCCCTTTTCTTAATTATGAAGTGGACTAGTGTTTGTTAGTCTTCACCCTGGCAGTGATAATGGAAAGAAGCAATTGTCTACAACAGAAGGGAATCTTTTCTCTTGTTGGGTGGTTTACCATTTCATGGAGCTTTGAAATGGAGGCACTTGTACACACACATTCAACATTATACACATTATTTATATAACTAACACATTTTAACAGTCAACAAGAGAGAAATTTTGTGAAGTTATAACATGCCAAAAGCACTGAATAAATGTCTTTATCAAAATGATTTTCTGGCAGGGCAGTCCATTTTCCTCTCTTTCTGTTTTCAGTCTCTAAGGAGAAATACTCTTATCAACTGCTACATTATGGAGAACATAAAATAAAAAAATACTGCTTAAATGTCATGAGTAAAATACATTTTAGACAAATTTATGTTATTTCCTCCTTTAAGAATTTTGAACATCAAAAGTATGCATTTTGTGTTGCCTAGAGTGTTTTAGCTCAAGTGTGCATTGTGGATTTAAGAGCAAAATTCTAACTGCTCTGAGAATTTCTCTTTCTGTAGTATGGAAGATTTTTATCCAAATAAAAATCATGGCCCTGACTCTGGAATTGGAAGTGATAATGGAGAGAAGCGATTGTCTACAACGGAAGTGAGTCTCTTCTGTTGCTGATCCATGCTGCTTTGCTATTTCATAAACCATTGAAAAAGAGGCCCTTGGCAATATTGACTTCTAAACATACATGAAACTTTAATTTTTGTTCTATTTTATGATTTCAAAAGAAGGAGTGCCTATTAATTTTTAAAAGCAGTACATTCATCATAACATAGACTTTTGGTTGGAAATATGGAGATGGAAATCAGATGTTTTGTAATTCCTGTTTAGCTAAAGGAGCACAAACTTCGTCATGTGTTTCGAATGTCTCTTTTATACAGTATGCTTGTTCCTTTCAGCCATCAGATGATGATACAATCAGTCTTCACTCTCAAGTCTCAGAATCGAATAGAGAGCAAACATCAAGAAATGACAGTCATCTAATAGGAAGCAAGCCTGATTCGCAGAAAGGTAATTCATGTGATATCTGCTAGTTTTGTTTCATGTATGCAGGGCATCTTAAAACTGAGATTTTTATTAAAAATAGACTTTGAAACTGTGCAGTATTTTATTATATATTTTATATTCACAGCTAAGCTTTTATCATGAGTATAAAGTATTAGAGCATTTATAATATTTCATAATATTAATCTGAACCTAGACCAGGAAGTGTATGATTTTATTGATTCCAACACAGAAGATGTAGCAGTTCCTGAACAAGGAGATACACATATTGGATCATTTGTCTCTTTCCTTAAGGTAAACAAAACTGAACAAACATTAATAACATTCACTTCTTCCTGATCATACAGAAGTATACCATATAATTTTAAATAATAATTTTCCTTTTTATAAGGGGAAAGAAAAGTGCTCTGAAAAATCTCAGAAAATTGAAGAACTGGGAAATGAAAAAAAGTAAGTATGCACTAATTTTCCAAATGTTTCTTATAAATTCTTGGACTATTCATTATGTATTCCTACTTGAGAGCACTTGAAAGAATTTGTTTCATATGCCATGTTTTCCCTCATGTCATGTGTAGATAATTAACTTTCTAATACTTTGAATTCTTTAATTAAATTCATAATTCTAATAGGTATTTGGTCCCCCCTGCAGTAGAATAGTAATCATGTGCATTATTTGGTTACCAAAGAGGACTGAGTCTTCATGAATATTATTTCATTTGAGTTCTTTAACAACCCTTTCATATAAATGTCATCAGCATCGTTTTATCAATAAGGAAGCTGAGATTTAGAGTTCTGAATTCCTGCAAGTTGGGTTTTGTGTCTCTTGATTTAAGATACTTTCCATTTTGTTGTCTAGATATGGAAATGATGAGCTAGATATTTCCATATTTTATTACATAATTGAGATTTTTATCTTTTATTTTTATTTCATTTCACAAAATGATGGAGTCAGTCGTCCCTTTAGGTTATTTAGAGCTTTACTAATCAGGACCAGCGCTGTGTGATTTTCCATGTTTCTCATTTAATCTTGGCTAAAGTCCTGCTTTGGGCAAAATTAATTCCATATCTACTCATATGGGAGGTGCAATTCAGTGGTTTTATATTACCTACTAAAAGGCTTTATATTATGTATGTAAAGGCACTTAGCTAGTACCTACTAGCGTCTGAACTGAACTTTCTCCCAGTTCCCTTAATTTTCTCTGTACATTGTGCTTCCTTCAAGTGACTTTATTGATAATTATGTTTAGTGCTAGGGATTGACTCAAGATTTCATGCCTGCTGAACGTATATTTTCTAAACTACACACCTGAAACTTTATTTGGTAATTTTCTAAGAAATTGTTAATTAATTATTTCTACTACCCAATGAGGTAGTACATTGCTTTGTCTTGTAGTCTTTTTTTTTAATGTGGAGGATTGACTGTAGAGCCTTCTGCTGAACAAGTGCTCTATCACTGAGCTATAGCCTAAGTCCTAGTTTTTAAATTAATGAGTTTTTAGACAATTTCACAAATGTAGACAAGGCATAGTTGTCATTCTCATTCCCCTTCTCACTACAACCCCTGTTATCCCCACTTCCCATAGATCTTTCCTTCATGTTGTTCATGTCGTTTTATTTTGTTTTGGAGCCCACTGAGATTATCCAGGCCTGTCTGTGTCAACCATTGGTTTAAAAATAGCTGCTGGAGTCTCCTGGCTCAGCAGTGGATACACACCTCCACACAGTGGTTCACCCTCTCTCAATAGTTCAGAAGGAATGGGTAGAACTCCACGAGTTCCCTGTTTTCTTGACTTATTAGTGGGTCTTGATTTGTGTTGGCCCAAATGAAGCTAACTATGTGTTTTATAAAGTAACTTTTGGAGTTTTACATTGTCTAGAGAAGTTGTTCTCAAATTGTGAGTCATGACCCATTTGACAAATCTCTATCTCCAAAATTAGTCATATTTTGATTCATAACAGTAGCAAAATTATAGTTGTAAAGTAGCAGCAAAAATAATTTTATGAATGAGGGGGTCGCAACAACATGAGAAACTATTAAAATGTCACAGCATTAAGAAGGCTGACAACCAGTGATCCAAAGGGTAAGGTCAGATCAGGCACCCTCTCCTCTATTGCTTAGGGTGTCAGCTGGGTTCATCCCTGTGGGTTCTTGGGCATTTTTCTAGAGCCAGGTTTCTTGCTTCCTCCATAATGGCTCCCTCAATCAAGATATCTCTTTCCTTGCTCTCATATCCGTCCTTCCTCCTCTCAAGCACCCCTTTCCCTCAAGTTATCCTCAACCCCCCTTCTCTCCTCCCTCTACCCCCCGCACCCTCCTTCCAAATAGAGCCTTAGAAGTGGTGATAAATATGCCTTGTTTTTAGCTACAGCCCTCTGTGCCTTGAACTTATGATTGTCTAGCCTTAGGCTCCAATGTAGCTGAGATTACAGGCCTGTGGCACCATTTTGCTTTTCAGATTCCATTTTTCTATTAATTTCTTACTTCATCAAATGAGAATACAATATTGTTATTGCCGTTATTGTTATTTATGGTTCTTGTTATTAAATGAAGTGCTTTTAACACCAAATAGCTACAATTTCCAGAATAACTTACTTTTGATTTAGTTTTTAATTTTAAAATGATTTAACTATTTCTGGAAATTTTTAAACTCTCATTTGAACCCATTTAACATTCCCCTTATTTAAACTATTTTATTTCATATAGAGATCTTAAAAATCAAAATAAGTAAACTTTAGAAACAGTGTGGCAAAATGAAAATTTTTGATATTAGTTTTCTTTATTTCTAGAAATTGGCTATCTGGAATTTTGCAGTACTTTATATACCCAAAGCAGCTGCCTTTATTGTTAACTTGTGACCATAATATATTTCAAAAAAATTAAAATAGTTTATACTTCAATATCACTTGTTAGCTGTAGTTATATTGAGTTGAGAATACAGTTATATTTTCCTAAATATTTCTTATTTTCTACTTTAGTATTTTAAATATAAAGGCATAAAAATTTTTGCTCACATGGAATTAAAACTAACAACAGTTTTCATATCTAGATGTTGACAAAGAACAGTTCGCTTTACTTTTGGAATCACTGTGTCTGTTTCAGACTGGACAAAGAACAGTTACTTCCGGAGGAAGATGATGATGATTTGAAAGAAGTAACTGATTTGAGGAAGATAGCTGCTCAGTTATTAAAGCAAGAACAGAAGAACAGGTATTCTTTTTAGTAAGATTTGAACAGGCAAATTTTATTATCAGTGAAAGATTATCAACTTAAGGAAATGAAGGTGTAAGTAACCAATAGTGACCTTTAAATATAGAAATATATGTAGTCAAGAGGTTGACTGCTGAAAGCCAGTAGGAAATACTTAGAAGAGAAATATGAAATTGAATATATAACTAATAGAATGTTCACAATTTGGCTCTATATATATTTGTGGTATTGGTGATCAAACTCTGGGCTTCATCCATGCTAGGCAAGGCCTCTGCTCTTGTGCTACACACTAGCCTTAGTTAATGTACTTAAAATTTTTACTTCTGTGATAAATCATAGAAATTGATTTGCTCGACTATATTCATTTTTAGCTTACAGTAGCATTATTTGCAGTATAAGCACTTTTTTGTGAGTATGTTCTATACTGGTAAAGTTTATTAGATTTTTATCAGATTCCCAATTATTTGGGATATGCAGTTTCTCCGGAATTGAAGTGAATTATATAATTGGTTCTTAAATCAGTGTGACAATTTGAGTGTCCCAACTTTACAATTGGTTAATTCTTGGGCGAACAACTTTTCATCTCTCTGGTTCAGCTTTTTCGAAGTGCACGTCTTTGCCAACAAGCAAGGCATTGCATGAGCGTGAAAATGGAATCTAGTTAAGTTCATTTAAACATTTTTGTGTGTGGAGTGTAAAAATGTGTTCACAGACATGTGTGCACCCATGGAGGTCAGAGGGACACATCAGGTATCTTCCTCAGTTGTTTTCCATATAGCATTTTGAGACACAGTCTCCCACTAAACCTAGAACTCACTGATTGACTAGAGTTGTCGAGTCTGTTGACTCTCGAGGAACCACCACCCTCACCAGGTTGGGTTTACAGATGCATGCAGCCATCCCTGGGATTTTTTTACAGGTGCTGAAAATCTAAATGCATAGCAGGCAATTTGCCTCCTGAGCTCAAAGCCCATTTTTAGTAGATGAAATGGACCATGTGCTACTCTTACAGCTGTCTGTATTTACTGAGAATCTTATATTTGTAGTTTTGAAATAAATAGACTGAAGTTTTTGTTTCTTTTTCATGAGAAAATTAATAGGATAATTTTGGTATATTTGGGGTGAATATTATTTCATTTTACTTATTCAAAATAAATATTTGTGGTTAGCATGGTTACTATGTTTTGAGAAGATTTGATATTGGCATTTTTTTTAAAAATATCATTAAAACCTAGCATCTGGCAACTGGATTGATGGATGGTTCAGGAGTTAGGAGCACTTTTTCTTTTTCAGAAGACTGGTTTTTTTTTTTTTTTCCAGGACCCAGTAACTCTAACTCCAGGGGATCCAACACCCTTTTCTGGCTTCCACATAATCCACACATATGTGGCATACACTCACATATACACATACACATTCTTTAAAAAATGCTTTGTACCTGGATATGGTGGTGCATGTCCATAATCCTGGATCTTAGGAGGCTGAGGGTCACAAAATGATAATCAGTCAGGACTGTATAAAACTGTGTCTCATAATACAAAACCGACCCTGAAAAGTTCTAGCAAGCGAGTGCTGACTGCATAACTCAGTAATGAAACTCTTGCCCAGCCTATATGGGGTCCGGGTTACATTTCCAATACTACAAAACAAACAAAATGCAGACAGTGCTGGTGAGATGACTCAGTGCATAAAGGTGCTTGCAGACAAGCCTGACAGCTTCGGTTTGATCCCTGGAACCCATGTGGTAGAAGAAGAGAACCAGCTCCCACAAGTTGTCTTCTGAGTTTCACATGAAAGCTGAGGCATGCAAGTGTACAAAGATGTGCATGCATGAAATAAATTCATACATGAAACCAAAAGACAAAACAAACAAACTTATCAAATGAGGAGTATAGGATCTGCTTTTAGGAAAAAAACTGCAAATAGATAATATGACAAGTAGCCATCTAGTATCACTTTTACACAGCTACTACAATTTCTCTTAAAATTGTCATACTATAAAATAATCGCTTATCTGTCTATCATTTCTTTATCTGATGACTTCTCATTCTGTTTCCTTTTTTCTGGTATCACTTCATTATGTAAATGTTTCCTTGGTTTTTATAGTTTAATATTTCTAACAATTCATTTCTAATATGCCATTTTATAATAACTTCTAATTTTTGAGATTATAATGTGTTGTATAGTTTTTGTCTTCCTCTTTCTCCCTCCAAATTATCCCACATAACTCTCTACCCTCTTTCAAGCTCATGAACCTTTAAAAATTGTTATATGTCTGTATGTATACATATGTATATGTTTTTACATATGTATTATATATGTATATATGTAGATACACACATATATTCCCAAATGCATATATACAACCTACTCAGTCTATATAACTTGTATGTATGTTTTCAGAGCTAATCATTTGATATTGGATAATCAATTGGTGTGCTCTAATATGCCTTTTTCAAACTGGTTACAGTAAGGTTATATGTTGCCTAAGTGTTCCTCACCTGTGTGGTTTAACTTGATGCATACTACCACCAGATCTTGGAAGTTAAAAATGCTTGAGTTTATGCTTCCTTTACTTAGTAAACTTGTATTTATTTTTCATTATGAGAAGAGAATAATAATATTTTTAAGATTCTACAATCAAATTCATTTTCTGTTTGAGAGTTTAGTTTTAGACTCAACCTTGCCATACAGTTTTTTCCTTATTTTCATCTCTACTATTATTATATTCATGTTTATCTATCTATGTTTCTTAAATTGTCCTTCATAGTTTAGGTTAATGGATATCTAAGTAGTCCATCTTTTGTGGGGTTTGCTTTGGCAATACCTTTATAGTTAGTACAAAGCAGACCTCGATTTGTATTTTCTAACAGAGAAGACCCAGTGTTTTACTATTGTTTGCTAAGTGAATTCTTTAAATTTGTCAAATTTTAACTTAATGGAAGTCATCAGTTTAGCTGAAATTTTTATATTCTACATAAAACTTTCTTTTACTTTTCAAGATATATACAAAGATAATTTTGTCTCCAGTCTCCATCTGATTTTCTTCTTTTTTTTCTTAATCTTTTTATGTGTTACCAGATAATATAAGAACGATTTAGGTTAAGTATTTGTATATACTGATGTGTCTAAATTTTGAAGGCATTGAGTATGTTTGAGGCACTCATTCTTTTATTTTTCACTATAGGAAAAATATTCAGCATTATAGTCTTTACAAATATGGAATTCTTTGCCATAATGCTAAATGTAACTCTTACCTTCTAGTTAAAGGAGAAACAAATTTGTCTTCTAAAAGTTCTGTAGAGAATATGTAGAATCTACATGTCAGTTTTTAATACAATTATTATATTTGGTGGTTTCTTTTGTTTATTGTTATTCTCATTTAAAAGTAATTTGTGTAGTATGAGATTAACTCCAAGTACCAGAAAATGTCCCCCGGGACACCTACCTTGACTGTATACTGTACTGTTCTTTTAATTATTGTTTCAAAATGAACATATGTTTAGGTCTAGGCTAAAAGAAACAATGGTTACACTCTCAAAGTAAGGTTGACTGGAGCAGTGGCGATATTCAGTTCCATGATGATTTGTTATGGCTCTTTTGCTGCTTGCTTAGCTTATACTAGTTAGTACGAATTGTTACTTTGTAGCAGAAGTGTGTACTTTTATTTGGTGAATGATACTGTCCAAAGAAAGTAACAGAAGAATCCAGAAGACAAAATTATTGACCAAGAACACTGGGGAAAATTTTCAGTGAATAGAGTACTGTGTAGCTAGCCCACAAGGCTTCAGATTATGAAGACAAGTTGCCTATAAGGCAGCCCTGCTTTCTCTGATGTACAGGGTAGGCTTCTGAAAAGCTCCGGCGGTGCTGTGTGTCTGTTGTCTAACTCCTTGGGGACAGAGACTAGTGCATTTTTTGAGCCCAGGGTTTGTGAAACATATCCTTATGGAGAATGCAGCTGAAAGGATTAAAAACAGGCACTCCCCAAGGAAGAATTTCAAATGAAAAAAATATTTTTTAAAATTAGTGTCTTAAAATAATTTTGTGAGATGAGTAGATTGTAGATGTCTGTTTATAACATTGTGCATATAGTTAACCATGCACTTCACATTTAAAAATAAGTTCAGGGGAGATCTCATGTTAATTTTTTTTAAATTTTAAATGTTTCTATTATTATCCTGGGGTCAAACTCAGACTACATGCATACTAGATAATTAAATATTTTTTATTATTTTTATTTATCTATTTATTTATTTATTTATTAAAAATTTCCACCTCCTCCCCGCCTCCCTTTTCCCTCCCCCTTCCCACCTCCCCCTCCCTCTCAAGTCCTAAGAGCAGTCAGTGTTCCCTGCCCCGTGGGAGGTCCAGGGTCCTCCCCCCTCCATCCAGGTCTATAAAAGGAAGCATCCAAACAAACCAGGCTCCCACAAAGTCAGTCCATGCAGTAGAATCAAAACCCAGTACCATTGTCCTTGGCTTCTCAGTCAGCCTTTATTGCCAGCCACATTCAGAGTGTCCAGTTTGACCACGTGCTCCATCACTCCCAGTCCAGCTGGCCTTGGTGAACTCCCATTAGATCAGTCCCACCGTCTCCGTGGATGGACGCACCCCTCGTGATCCTGACTTCCTTTCTCATGTTCTCCCTCCTTCTGCTCCACATTTGGACCTTGGGAGCTCAGTCCAGTGCTCCAATGTGGGTCTCTGTCTCTATCTCCATCCATCACCATATGAAGGTTCTATGGTGATATGCAAGATATTCATCAGTGTGGCTATGGGACAAGGCCAGTTCAGGTACCCTCTCCTCTGCTGCCCAGGGAACAATCTGGGGACCTCTCCTTGGACCTGGGAACCCCTCTAGAGTCAAGTCTCTTGCAAACCATAAAATGTCTCCCTTAATTAAGATATCTGCTTCCCTGCTCCCATATCCACCCTTTCTCCATCCCTCCCATCCCATTCTCGCAAGCTCTCCCCAATCCTCCCCTTCTCCCTTCTCT